TCCTCTCCTTATTCTCGCTATGGATCATGTACAACAACATGTACAACCAGAATGGATCGACAAAAGACGACACTGCTGATGGGAACCATTTTCCTCACCTCTTTCTATACCAGTATATATAGGACACTTTCTCCTGTTTTACGATTATCTCTCTCTTCATTTTTCTTTACCAGGACTTTTCCCCTGAGTTTTCTGGTTTGGAACAGCTCCACCCTATTTCCTTACCACTTAACCCCCATTTCTTTTTATATCACAAGCCATCTCTTCCTTTTTCACGCAAAGATAACTGCTGCTACTTGAGAGGTAGCCACACAGCTCCCGTTGTTTTCATAATCTAAGCCTATGTCTCTTGAGCTTCGTTCATCTCCCCTACTGAAAATACCTCGAGAAAACATGAGAGATTTTAAGAAAACCAGTAGTGGGTCTCTATTATCAAAAGCAACTGAAAGTCAGAGGTCTATCAGCGAATTACAGCTGTGCCTGTACTTTTTCAGGCTGAGAATATCCTGATCTATGAGTATGATACTTACTATTTTATGCAACTTTGGCATATCTCGAATATAGACGTGAAATAGAATATTAGAAAAGCTGCTTTTTTTTTTTCCTAGAGCTTTGAAGTTATTAGGTTCTGTTGTGTAAAACTTGGCATACACTAATAAGTAAACCTTTCCCTGACAGAAGATAACAGCTCCTTTGTTTCTCCAACTCCCACTTGATGGAAGGATTATGCACTCAATCAACCCTAATGGCTCCCACTAAGACAAACCAATCTATTGTAACTATTTAACTCCATGTACACATAGTCCACATGCTAAAATCTGTACATACTTTAAATTAAATAAACTGTTCAGATTCCTCTCTGCAGACCCCCAGTGACCCACAGTATGAATAGTTATATTTAATTAAATATACAACCAATTACCTCAAAAAGTGTATATTTTCTGGCTAAAAAATATATCCATGGAACATTTCTCTCTCTTTTCAAGACATCCTGTACTAGAATCCCAGAATAGCTACAGACCAAGGAAGGGGGGGGAAAAAAAGGGAAAAAAAAAAAAAAAAGAAAGAAAATGTTGACCTATTTAATAGGTTATAAGCCAAGACACATGACTGACATTATCCATAGAAATCCTCATGTCTTATCTAGATAGATCAAATGTACAACATGTTATGCAGAATCTTCAGTGGTGTCTAGGGAAGAAAATTTATTTCTGTACTTCTTAATGAACCTGTACCAATTTTTTAAAATACTTTATGAGGGAACTGTTGGGAGGAAAGGGGGGAAAATTAGAATGGAGAACAGTATTAGCTGCTGTGTTGTCAAGGGGTCTACTCTAATAATTAACTAAGGAGATGAAAATGTGAAAATGTGACATCCCAGCTAGCACTGGTTATTTAAAAAAGAAAAAAAAAAAAAGAAAAAAGACTATTAAGCTCTCTGGAGATATTTTTACAATGAGTAGTTAGTATTAAGGAAAAGGAAGGTAGGAAGAAAATTCAAGTACCATAAGAAACACCTGGAAACTATTTTGAGAACATTGCATTAGACTCACTGCAATACAGCTAATCTTATGTAAGATCAAATTCATTAGCCCAGGAAAACCATTTTAGTAGCTTTCATACCTCTCCATGTTTGTTTTCCACTGTTACCCGAATAAAAGAAACCTTAAGAAAGTCTACAGTATAACCAGCATAAAGCACACCCTCAACAATACTGCAGGGCCTGGTCCAGAGAGGTGAGTGGAAGTAGCCATAATCATTATTGTATTGCATAAAATCACTACCTGATGTATATTATTTCTTTGCAAAATAAAAGAAAAAAAAAAAGAAGTCCAAATATTCATTACACTTGTCAACAACCACATACGCCTGAAGCTCTCACTTTTCTCATGCGCATTCATTGCATTGCCCAGAGCTGGAAAGAATTATGTTCACAAGTACCAGTACTTAGAAACCATTTTTGAAAACTAAGATATATGCCAGTTTAAGTTTCTGACTACAAAAGGTTAAACAGCTTACAGTGTCAACCCTGTGGTATACAAGAAATATTTGGTAGGCAGCTGTAAAGCCTGTTACACTATGAGTTTATGATGTGAAGTATTTATCACCCTTAAGAATTCAAAGTCAACAATAATATTCCTGAACATCCTAAACACACATTTACTTTCTATAACGGTGACTTTAAATTCTCCTGTTCAACAAAGTAAAAACTTTATGATTTACTTCATGAGACTGGAGACAAGCCTTGTGCCTGCAGAGCTGCACAAATGCATATGGCAGATGGAATATGTCAAGACTAGAAGAGAAATGTAAGGACAATAATTTTAAAGTAAGTTAACATTGGAATTAACAGAAATGATGTCAAGCTAAGTAACTATGATTGTTTAGCCTTCCTGCCAAAGCAAAAGTTTGATCCCATTAATGTTAATTACATGACCCCAGGCAATGATTTGCCTTTATCTCAAGTCAGTGGTGTTTGCCATGACTACAGGAAAAGCAACAGCAAGCCCATGGCTCAGAAAATAGGTCCATAAATCCAGAAGATTCTTTCTGTGTCTCTCATTATCTCAGAAGTTTTGCATCAGCTAGCATTCAATGGTATTGGTCCTGGTTTCTACCCCAAATTTTGGTGACTTTGCAAGGAAAAAGTTGAGGCCTTGGATACCAAATATTTTGTTGTCCGCTTGCATGTGTCACTTCTCATTCATTTAAGGCCTATCAGGGTATATTAGTACTTGTTATGCTATACAGATCATTGTAAAGTGAACTGTTACATTTTTCAGTTAAGCAGATTAAGAAAATAGTCTTGGTTTGAAATCTCTTCTGAAGCTGTAAATGAAAAAAAAAATATGTAAAATGAATGCCTGGTTTTAAGAAATAGGTAGCTTCTTAGAATAAAATAAGCCCAGAGCTCGAATGCTTTAGGCAAATGTGTGGGACAAAATTGCCTATACATTTCCTGCCCCCTGCCCCGACCCCCTGGAGTTGTGCAGATAGTCTGAAAAGACTTTTCTCACAAAGGTCAAACACTTCATTATAGAAACACAATAAACTGACTACAGAAAACTAAAAATGATACAGACTAACTATAAAACAGAGTAAGTGTCAGATCACAGTATTCTGATATGCTATCACCTTTGATCGGGAGACCAAATTTCTAGAAATCATTGAAAGAAGCAAAGAAAAGAAGATCCAGAACAATCTTCACAATCATTTCTTTTCACAAGAAAAGAAAACATTTGGCACTACCTTCCAGCTTTGAAGACGTGCGGATATGACACTGACCTAGCAGATCGCAGTTCCAGCAAGAAAACCCTCATCATTCCCACACTGCTCATGGCCCTCCATACGTTCATCTCCCTCCTACCCATAGTTCTTTCAATGAAAAGCAAGTGGTTTGAAAAGCAAGTGGTTTAAAATACAATGCCATTTTCTTTCTTTGCACTTAAAGCTCCTGAAGGTAGAATACTAAATCACAAATTTAGTGAAACGAAGTTTGGAAGCCCATTTCATCCACTCAGAAATATTTCACAAGTAATGTTGCTCGGGGCGAAATTATTCGGAGTTTTCCTGGTATCTTGAAAAAGAGCAGTCCCAGGCTCCCTGTCACCAAGACCTCCCAGCCTCACAGTACAACCACCAGTAATGTTATCCTCAAATTGGGCCAAGGGCTATATTTTACATTATGGAAAAACTGCTGTACATCACACAATGCATCGTTTGAGAACAAGTGTTTGCCAGTTCATTCAGTGCAACACGTCTGAGAACCCAAACATGCCACTGAAAAATTAAACAAACTATTTTAGTAGTAGAATGATATTAACACAACTGATAACTTTCAAAATATTATTTTCAAATGCATCATTACAGCTACAGCAGTATCCCTAAAATCACATTTGTATTTAAAAACTGTTTCCTTACAACTTCTTCAAGAATAACGGAAAGTTTGTTTCAAGCAATAAACTTCTATCACTAGTAACAAATGTTTCACGAAAACACATTTGTTTTGTATCAGTTGCTGCAACCAAGCTTCAGTGTCTTCATTTTGTCCTTCTTGTATAAACCCTTAAGAGTATTAGGCCAAATTCTGTGTCCTTAACCAAGTAAGATGTAAGTTAAGATAAAAAAAACTTCAAAACTCGACCCCAAGCATTTCCGAATAAGAAAAGTAGACGTTAGAAAAGTTTAATCTAAACCAAGAACAGCTTCTTCCGCAGTATGAATCTGAGACTCCTCCAGTTTTCTCCACACTTCATTAGTCTCCCAGGTAATGAAAGCGAAACATAGAAAGTGTTGAGCTATTAAGCTATGCACATTCAGCATTTGAGCACTGTCAGTTCAAACTATTTAGATAAGAGAGACAAACGTCTTGAAAAATTAAACTGGTGAAGTCATCGACTCGGTCATGACCATCCAAAATAGTGTCAGGCTACAAAATATTGGTAAGCTTTGGATATACACAGAAGTAAAAACCCCCTTTTTTTTTTTTTTTTTTAATCGAAAGTGCAGCGCTAAGACAAAACGGCAAATTATTTTTTTTAACGTCACAAAAAAAATTAAACCAAGAAAGGCGTAAAAACGGGTTCGCCATTAAAACCTCGACTTCGTTTCCCCACGAACCCGAGGAGGTGGAGCCGGCGGGGCG